ATCTATATATATATATATATATAAAGTTGTGTTTATCTGTTATCCTTTCTCGTGTATATTCGATTTCAATTTCATTATTGAATATGTTATCTCCCAATACCTTCATTGCCAGTTGCACATTACACAGGTCACAACAGTAGGTTTAAACTCTTGTTTATAAGCATCGATGATGAATACAAGTTCTTGCTTTTGTCATAAAAATTGATTATTTCCACCAGCTGTGTTTTAACCCAGCTGACAAATTTCAAGTTTGAGAAAATTGGATTTTTTCTTCATAAATAAAAATGTGTATAATTTTATATTTCTATGTTTGATATGTCGTGTTCATGTTACACATATATATATACAGGTGCTGCTATAGCACGAGGTACACATATATATTTCTAAAATATATCAATGCAAAGTGCATACAAGTTTCAGTCCATGTTTTAAAAAACCTAAAAAAAAGTATGGGCCCGATCAGCTAAGCTGTATAATTTATTAATATAAAGTTGTAATCTCATTTGGGTGTTTGTTTGTTTGTCCGATCATAACTCAGGAACACATTAACCGATTAGCCTCAAATTTTGGTTTGGGAACTTGGAAGATTGGTTTAAAGATTCTAAGTTGAATGTCTAGACTTTTATAAAGAAAAATAGTTTAAATCGTAAATTACGACGAAGCGAGGGTAGAATGCGGGATTAGCTATTACTTAGTCAACGCTGGGTTCCCAAGCTAGTACATATATATGTATGTATATACAGATGTCTATCTGAATGTCTATAAATTATAGATTTAAGTGTTTGAGGAGATAAATAACTAGGATTTGTTTGAGCTGCGGGGCTCAGTAAACATTCATTCACTCATTCATTCATCCTTCCTGTTATTCATCCCTTCTTTTGTTCATCCTTTCATTCATCCTTTAATTCTTCCTTTCACCTATTTATTCATCCTTTCAACCTTTCTTACATTTATTCTTCCTTTTATCCTTCCTTTCAATTACTCTTTCATCATTTCTTTCTTCCTTCCATAATTTCTTGTATAATTCATTTATTCACCCACTCATTCACCCATCTATTCATTTATTCATTCACTAACTCATTTATCCTTTCATTTCTGCATTCATTTGCTCATCCTATCCTTTCACTTATTCATTCATTAGTCCTTTATTTCGTTTATTTATTGTTAGCATATTATAAACTAAATTATGAATGAAATCTCTCGAAATAATACCATTATTACTTTTTAATTATTATTACATGTTTGCATATGTAAAATTAGCTTAATATTTCGAGAACAGAATAGGAATGGATTGTTTAAATTTTTTCCTTTAATTGATGTTTAAAACAGGTGCTTCAATTAACGAACAGATTAAGGA